ATGTGATTCTATTCGCTTAAATATTATTTTTTGGTTGTCATTTAAAGTTTGGTAATCTATATTATTATCAGAAGTTTTATTATCTTGAATTTCATTGCTTAAATTCTTATGATTAGATACAAAAGTGTTTACTTCTTCGAGATCGATATTGGAATAGTATTGTTGAGTATCATTAATCCAATCATGATTTCGATCAATATCACGAGATCCAAAATCAGAAGAACAACCAAACATTGAATTAGGGCTTATTTCAGCTAAAAGCATCTAATCAAATTGAAATTCCTTCTGTTCACTATCCTCAAGTTCTTCTTGGCTTTTATCTGTTACTTCTCTTTCGTTATTATCTACAGGAGTGCCAAGTAAATCCATCAGGTCAGCATTGATTTCTTCCAAATTGTTATTATATAAGGCTGACCATAAAATCATGCTATTTTGAGTCAGCTGTTGAATATCTCGATAATGAACATGAAGAAGAACTTTTACGTGGCAGAACTCCTCCCAATTTGGACCTTTATGAACTAGTGAGGGTCATGGCCAAATACATATAATATTTTCTTGTTTGTATTTTCTCCATTGATTATTGTAAAATTTATGTATAAGATATAACTGATATAATGAAAGGTTCTCAAATTCAGAAGGTCGATCCCAGTATACTTTCAAAGTAGATCTTGTTGTCAATCCAATATTTTCAACTTGAGTAGAATTTTCGTCTTCTCTTGCACCTGTACCACGAAGCCAACGTGATGCATCGTTGTTAAGATTTAATGAAACAAATGTGCTACTTGAATAATAAAGAGGAATTCCAAGAAGAAGATAACAAGTTTCCTGTACAAATATATCACATTCTGTGACACTATGAAATAATAATTTCTGGACTGGGACAAGTAGTCGATCGTTAGGCTCACTATTATTAAATATCCTATTTAAAATTTCAAAAAAGCTACTGATCGTGGTTCTGCTTTGCTTGCATATTTGCAAATATAGTGTAGGGCCGCATGTGTACTAAGGACCAGTTTTAGATCAACATTTGCTCTCCACTCTTGTAGTTGAATTCTACTATGTGGATTAATATACAGATCATTTCTTGCTGTTACAAGATCTGGATAACTGTGGCTATCATTACGCAATAAAGTATAATTGTTCTTTTCTTTAGGATATCCAAATCTGCAGAATTGTTGTCCTGCACAGTTGATACGAAGACAATACGAAGGGCTGCATCGTGTATGTCTTTGTAACTTGTTAACTAACTCAATATAATTTTGTAAATCATCATTTAGTTCTTCCCAACGTTTTTGACATGGATGATGATCAGGGATAGGAGCATTGGGTCCAGGATTAATTGTAGTAACTAGCGAATTGATATATTCTACTATCTTTTTTAATAAGTTTTCATCTCCCTTCAGTGTTTCTCATTCAATTTTTGGAGCATTTCTAATCTTTCCAATTCTATGTATATGGACGCTACCACGATGTTGCTATTCGAACCTATATCACTAGTCATCCAACTTCCACTTCTTTATTAACACTTCATTGAAGAAAAGTTCAAAACGTTTATTAAAAAACCAAGTAGCAAGATGCAGATTATTGACGATATTTTGATGATAATTTTCACTAGATGGCATAAGTTTATGAAGCTCTGGCCAATGTAGATCAGCAGCACTAAATGTAAAAAAGATTAATCCCTTTGAACCTAACTGCTTGATCATATCTGATAACTCGTTACACTTTGTATTTCAGAACTGTCTCAATCCACGTATGCCCAGACCAAATCTCATAATTTGGTCAGCTATATACGTATTACTCTCAGCAATCGTTTACTGAATCTCAGTAACTGTAAGCTGACTGTCATTAAAATTCTGTTTTATATATACTCTTTCTTCTTGTAGTGCCTGCCATCTTATTTGTGAATTAAGTGCAAAGTATCACCAACAAGTATGGTGAGCAAACCTTCCATCCTTATATAGCAATAAATGCTTAAAATATTCAGCTGGCTTGACATCTTTAATACATTCTTCACAAAGGTCAGCACATCCAGTTGGGTAAAGAGTTGGAAATGCATATGCCATATATCCTGGTGTTTGAAATTCATTAATAGGATTACTATCAATTTGCAGCCACTCTATTGTATCATTATTAGCTATCATGCAATTAAGTGTATTACTTATAGCTATATCCTCTCGATCATTTGAGGGAAGAAAAGGCACAAAGGTATATGTGATTACATCACATTCTCCTCATCGAAATCATTATCTTTCAATTGATTAATTTGAAATTGATTATCAATAAAACTGTTCTCTGATAAACAATTAAGATTTTTATTGTCTATAACAATTTCAGAATAATATTGATTATTTTCTTTTAACCAACTCAATGCACGAATAATTTTGTCTCAACAAACTCTAAAATCTCTAAATGTAGTTGTATCTCTTTTAGATTGTCGACGTACAATAAGTATATTTAATGAAGATGGATGCTAAGGAAGACGGGTAGTAAATTCTTCTATATCTTGAGGGAAGTTAATGACATTTCCTCTGTATCCATGCTGTCCTCCACAAAGTCTGTAAACTACCATCACAGGGAATACTTGTGCAATTAACATCTCTTCAATTTTTGTAAGTCCTTGGAGTTCTTCAGGTACATCTCCTGGATCTATATTGTTATTGGATGAAAATTTCTTCGACAACTTTTTTTCAGTATAACAACGGCAATATTCTCACACGACAAGGGTTAATATTGAAAAGCATTCCTTACATATGGAACAAAGTGTGTGTTTTAGCTTCTCTACTTTGCTACGAAATCGTCGCAAAAGAATTTTATCGAATTCGCTAAGGATCGCAGAAGGTGGATTGACTTGCGTAATATCATCACTACTTTGGGCCATATCAAATTCATCTTGTATATTATCAGTTTGCATATCCGATTCATTCTGAAAATATTGGTTACTATTATATGTAAGGCTTGCTTCAAGTTCTGTAAGGTCTGATTTAAGTTTATTTAATGCCTTTGTTGCTCTTTTTTAACATTTTTTTTCTCAATCATATGCAAGACGTGTCTCATACTGCTGAAATATTTCATTCTTTCTGCTTTTGTGTTTTCTAAGAGTATTTCGTAAAACTGAACTTTCTCCTGCTTAATTTTCTTTTATTGGACGGTTTTCTTCAGGTTAACTTTCATCCATTCGATTTTCTTCAATAATTAAGTTTTCAACTGTTGAACTTTCAACTGTTGAGCTTTTAACCACTAGGTTTTCAACTATTGTGTTTTCAACTATTGGGCTTTCAACCATCGGGCTTTCAACTATCGAGCTTTCTATCATTTGACTTTCAAACAATAAGTTTTCTTCTATTCTAATCTGTTTTAATTATATTTTTTCTCTTTAGATTTTTTAATTTATGATATATAAAAGATACAAAACCGTGAGGTAAGGATCAATGATGTACTAATTACGAAATAGTATGATAACGAAATTATTTGATTTTGTATCAAACTAAAATGCTTAAAAATTATATTAAAGAATAAATACTAAATCGTGCTTTATCTA